GACGGTGGGGGTGGGGGTGGAGCAGAGAAGCCTCCGGCAGCAGCAGCACCGGGCAAGGGAGGGAGACAAGGGCTCCGGGAACCCAGACCCTGACAGCCTGACCCCAACCTGAACGTCTGCTGTGGGCACAGCGGCCGTGCGCTGAGGCCTCGGGACCCTTGCGATCCCTGACCTGCCTCCTGGAAGGGCAGCAGGTGGCCTGGCACTCACTGCGCATGCGGCCGGGCTCCCCCACCCGACAGGCAGCGTGCAGAGCTGTGCCTGTGGGGTTGCGGCCAGCGCACCCTCAGCACAGGGGGCCAGGTCAGCGCACCCTCAGCACAGGGGGCCAGGTCAGCGCACCCTCAGCACAGGGGGCCAGGTCAGCGCACCCTCAGCACAGGGGGCCAGGTCAGCGCACCCTCAGCACAGGGGGCCAGGTCAGCGCACCCTCAGCACAGGGGGCCAGGTCAGCGCACCCTCAGCACAGGGGGCCAGGTCAGCGCACCCTCAGCACAGGGGGCCAGGTCAGCGCACCCTCAGCACAGGGGGCCAGGTCAGCGCACCCTCAGCACAGGGGGCCAGGTCAGCGCACCCTCAGCACAGGGGGCCAGGTCAGCGCACCCTCAGCACAGGGGGCCAGGTCAGCGCACCCTCAGCACAGGGGGCCAGGTCAGCGCACCCTCAGCACAGGGGGCCAGGTCAGCGCACCCTCAGCACAGGGGGCCAGGTCAGCGCACCCTCAGCACAGGGGGCCAGGTCAGCGCACCCTCAGCACAGGGGGCCAGGTCAGCGCACCCTCAGCACAGGGGGCCAGGTCAGCGCACCCTCAGCACAGGGGGCCAGGTCAGCGCACCCTCAGCACAGGGGGCCAGGTCAGCGCACCCTCAGCACAGGGGGCCAGGTCAGCGCACCCTCAGCACAGGGGGCCAGGTCAGCGCACCCTCAGCACAGGGGGCCAGCCCAGCACAGGGCGGGTCAGGCGAGCGCATGACCTCCAGCCCAGACACAAGCACACGCTGGCGACCATGGCACACTCGCCCCACAAGGGGGATTAATTTGGGTACAAAGAGCACAGAACGCAGTCCCCCAGCCCCGTCAGCTTTTCCCAGCGACACCCCGGCCAGCCAGGGATGAGGCTGAGGACAGGTGCACGCAGGCCAGGGACGCCCCAGGTCAGAGGTCAGCCCGACGGCCCCTGCACCGCCGCCTCTCCCAGGCAGATGCGCTTGTGGAGATGGGGAAGCGGCCGGCTCACGGTTCCAGGCTTGGCCTTGACACTGACCTCGGTTTGTCGGCAGCATGTCCGAGAGCCCCTGCCACGCCGTCACCATCTCTGGATTCTTTTCCAAATCAGCAAAATTCTTCCAGACTCTGATGGCGCCGTCATCTTGGGGAGAGGAGAGACGCGGTCAGCACGCAGGCCTGGCTCCTGGCGGGAGCAGCGCCGCCAGCAGGCTGTCCCCGTGGGCGCGCCCTCCCGAGGGGCCA